TGTAAAACCATAGGAGGGTTAATGCTAGAATTCTTTTGACCACGACTGCTGGGCTGCGGTATGCCCAGTATGCTAAGCCCTGTCCAGCAGCAGGCCCACATTGAAACCGCAGGTGCATGATGAATAGAATGTACATGTGGTATGCACTTATCCTCACACAAAGCCGCAGCTGTCAACGGCTCCTGGAGTGAAGGCGTTAAAAAGAAAGGCACAAGTACTATTGCCCGCTTGTTTTTATTCCTGCCATGAAAATTACCGGAATTTTTTACTCCAGATCACCCTTGCCATGAAGCCACAACATAAGTACAATTTGTTACAATGTCACGGAACGCCAACGCAGCAGGCTAACAAACTTGGCCAGGATCAACAGTACTGGTGCTCTGTAATTCATGCGACTGAATCTAGTGTACATGTACGTGCATACCGTGATACGTACTGCTGTGCGACCCTGGCCAGCTCAAAGCACAGGCCTTGTGTATAAACAGTATCGGGGGACCATCTGGTCATTGTGTTGTGATTGGCTGTCAATGAAACATCAGTATTCATACATATGTCAGTGGGACTCATTACAGCCATTCCTGCGTGAGCACACATTTCACTGTGAATTTATGGTTGGACATTAACAGTACATTTATGCTTTCGCCGATAGATACAGCTGGCACCGGGCATGCAATGTTACTGTGTCATGCATCATCGCGCAGGTTTTAAGTGCTCTGTGTGCATTGTTTTGTACGAGCTTCATACAATTTTTGGTCATTAACTTAGACATGAGGTCAAAATACAAACGCTTTTGAAAGCGTTCAACGTTTTGTAAATGCCAAGCCCCACCAAGCATTACCACACCATGGGCTTCTGTGGTCTGGTGGATGAATCATGACAATAGCTCTTTACTTTGCAGCTCCGCAGGGGGACTTAGATCGTCAGACTGTTTGAACTTCCTGATAAAACATGTGTATGGAGTAGTTGTGTCGCAAATGAAGTGTGAAATATCTGTGCTGTTGGTTTCCAGACCAGTCGTTCAGGTCTCGATACCCTGTAATCTTGGTATTTTGTCTGGGTATCGTGAGTCAAAGACACACCTAATTGTATACCTGCAGAATCGATTATAGTCACTCGAAATACCGTTTACCTGAATCATACATGACGTAGTGTTCTGTTCATGTAGTTTCAGATAAAACCTCTTTTTTTGCCCGTGTGTGCAAGCTGGGACTCAGCATTACGCAGTCACAGGTTTTCATGTGTAGGATCGAGGAAACACGTACGCGAACTACGCACTTTCCACTTTGCGGCCACACCAGCACGATTTTACATGCTTTTTCTTCAAGTCAATCATGCGTGCATGTTGCATTTTGTTTTGTAAGGGTTATTTTGTCCTCTTTTTATACTTTGTGGTTGCACAAAATTCATGTTGGAAAACAAACATGTTGGGTTTTATGCTAATTTCTGGCTTTTGACTTTACCTATTAAACTTAATGCACAGTAAACAAAAAACATGGACATAATTTAATCTGGTGCTGCAGGAGAACAGCCAAACCGAACCAGAAATCATCAAACAAGGCACTTTCGAACCGAACCAAACCAAACTGCTCAGCTCGGATGTTCGGCTTTAATATGGCATTTCATTGAGGCACACGGGAATACATAAAAGAAAACTTGATAAAACACGAACATAACGAAAACTGGATAACGAGTTGTTCGGTGCGCTCCATATGTGCATGAACATACTGAAATTTACAATGGCCCGGTATCATGAGATGGTTGTAAAAAACACTTGGTGAGAATCACTCAATAATCAACCAAGAATATGCAATGCTGTATGCATTGTCGCTGCATAACCATTCTAAATTCTCCCCACATCCAATTCGGGCTCATGTGTATTTAGATTTAGTTATCATATTTGTCAATCTCCGATAGTCGCGCCCTTACGTTCCATTTCAGGCTAATAGCGTTCCATATTAGGCCAATGATGCATAAATGGCCGAGCAAAACGAATTTTGATTGGATGATGATCACAGTCGGATTCGTGCTAGATTGAAGGCATCTCTGGAGGGAAACTTTGCCAAGCGGTTCGGTGCATGCAGCGCTTCAGCGCAGCGCATGAGAAGAGTTTTGTTCGCGTGGTGGCCTAACTTGCCTTTCATTTGATCATGAAGGGTTTGACCGTAGGGGGAATGCATTGTAATGGAATTTTGCCAGATCCCAAATAACAAAAATAGCAAAAAAGCACATAAGTCCTTTGCTTTGCTTTTGAACAAAATGTTGTTTGAACAAACCAATTTTATCAGAAAACTTGCATGGTGCAGCAGATAAGGCAGTGGGGAAGCACAGCACGATGTACTCTACAAAATCTTTATTTCTTTGTATTTGGAAATAGTCATGTGGTATTTCCTTGCATACCTTGATATGAGCTTCTCAGTTGTCTTGTCTTTGGGGGGAAAGAAGGCAAAGCTTTCATGAAACTAAACTTACAAATTTTGATGAAATGTTCACACCTTTGCAAAAAAGATACATAGTAACTTTAGAGAAATTTCTTTCAGTTAAATCAAAGGGAACCTTCTTGGTTGGCACCAAAGAAAGCTTATGTCTAAGATATGAAATTCTTTTGCCACCTTTTTTCCATGAAATGGGATCACATACACACTTTTGAAAAGAACAAATTATTCTGTGATGCCTTATAAACAATAAAGTCTTTAACACAAATGCTATTTCAAAGTCCAGGACAACTGTGGAAAAGATCTGTTTTCCCACTTCATTTCACTGTGTACAAGATATGCTGGTTTCACCAAAAGTGGTACAAGTACCAAGTAAATGTAGAATTTCTGATGAGAGGCAGCGGAGATATTATGACATTATCAATATTGCCTGATCACCTCATGATCATTAACTGAAACAGACTTCCAGTTAATATAGCACCCTGCAGCATTGAGATGTCACTTAATGTTTGTTTTATTTTCTTATTTTTTATTCCATGTAGGCAGGTCAAGTCAGATCAGCTGCTGTCCTCTGCGGCAGCCTGCACAGCACAACTGTGTGTTGTGATTTTCCTATCTAAGGGAGTTTGCCAGAGGAATCAATGGATGGGAACACAAGTAAGTCATTTGCATGAATTTGTCCTCAAACAAAAGAATACCTAGCTATTACATGCTGTGAAATCCTTTTGTAACTCAAGACAAATGCTGAAATATCCTCAGAACTCGGGAGGATTAATTGATAAGTCCAACATCTTGAGCCTGAAAATTAACTTACAACAGCAGGGTTGTTTTTTGTGAGAAAGCTTGTTATTTGCCCAACAATTGGTTCATTTTTTGGAGCAGATCATTAATGCTGGTCGTTCACAGTCTTTTGCAAAGTTTAGGACCACCCATACAAAATGCATCAACCTGAAGAAAAACCAAACTTAAACCAATCAATCATGGCAACTTATGTTTATTTTCAGTGTGTAACCTTAGTATCTTGGTTACACAGCTATTTGACTACATTTCCATGATTTGAAACATTAACAGTCTTATATTTAGTGGGCCCTCCCTTATTTCTGATTACTTAGTCTGGCTGTTTTTTTACCCATGCTGCCTTACAGACAAAATGCCACACAAGACCAGCCTTTGCAAAAAAAATTCATTCAAATAGGTATATAGCACTACACTGATGTCACGCACCACTGTAAAAACATGTTAAGTAATCTTACAATGAGACAATGTAATCCAAGCCTAGTGACAGACACACCAATAAATTTACAGGTGGTCTTAAACTGTTGCAGATGAGTGTAGATCACAGTTTGTTGCTCTTGTAATTGCAGATCTCCATGTATTAGTTCAGGTTTTATGCTCTTAGTAGAATGCTTTTATTATTATGTTCAAACTACAATGGCACTTATTCCAAATCAATAACTTCACTATGCTTTTCTAACTCTTTCTAACTGCAATTCAACAATTTTTTTCCCACAGGTTTTGGGAATTGTTTGGCGCCCATCTTAACCTACTCCTTTAACTACCAAGATGCTTGTCAAGACGCTGTTCATACAAACCTTGTTAGACACTGCTGGATTGTACCCTGTTAGGAGATCAGATGAAAATATCAGACTGCACCATTCCCATGTTAATTCAAGAGGAAGTGACAAGGCATGTCGCTCTGCCTAACATTATTCCCACAAGATCACTTTACTTGTGGCCAGTGAGCAGAGTTGGTAAGGATAATACATGTTGCTCAACCTACTGCTGTGCTCCAATAGGATCACTTACCTGTACCTCTGATCTGCAAGTTGAAGTGAGTTGAAAGTACAGAGCTGTATTTGAAAACTAGAGCACTAACTCTCATACAAAACGATGCCTGCTGGGCATCCATGTTTGTGCAGAGAACTCAATATTTTGTACAGCTTTTGTACAGCTATTTGCACATCTGCGTCTGTATTCTAAAATGACAAGAAAGCACATACACAAAGGAACCTAAATGCTTAATCAGTAAATGAGCATTTGATTTTGCTCTACATAAAAAATTAAAATGTGTGTGCATCTGTGCTGCAGATAAGTTTGCCGTGACTTTTTAATTGGATTTTATTGATAACCGATGTGCTCTGCATTAAGAGTACATCATTGGATATTCATTCTATCTATTTTCGAATATTCTACAAGCATGCACAGCGTCAAATTGTCTGTGCCTAGGGCGAAGTCAAACTTTCTCCACATGGAGAATGAGAGGTTAACGCTCAAGGACTTTAACACAGCTCAATGGTTGGAAGTGAGACAGCATTGTTTGTCTATACCCAGCACTGTGTTTTTACAGGATCACTTATCTGTTGTCTAAGAACCGAGCTGGATGGACGCATGGGTGGATATCATGACTGGAAACACAAACTGGCTTTATGTTATATAGCATTTTAATTTCTATGCACTGTCTTTAGGTCTCAAGTACAAAAGTGTGGGACATTTGTGTGTGATGACTATTAGTGTTCAAGAAAGTTAAACTCTGTAGCTTTTAAAGTAGTTGTAAATTTTGTAAAAAAATTGTGATGTGTGTTGACTGGAAAGCTACCTTTTGTACGTGTATATTGCTTTACATTCAATTTTGTGGGCTGCCGTAAGGTAAAGAAAGAAATCACTATTTGGGCAACTTGTGTGTAAGGCCATTGAACTACAAGAAGATTGTGAACTGAGTAACGTTTAAAGTCATTGAAAAACTCGTAAAAATTGTGATAAATGTTGACTACACGTTTATCTGGTTATGCATGAGACTATTAGCCTACAGTCAAATTTTGAACTTGAGTAACTGTTGAAGTAGTTGTCAAGTTTGTAAAAACAATGTTGCCTGAAAATTGACCTGTTAATTTCATTCACATTCGCTGGAACTGTATTTCATTATTGTGTAATTTAATTGGATCTTGCACTCCTGCATTTAACTTTGTTTGCAGTGTGTTTTGGAAAGTTTGTATTGCCATCCTCTTCAGTTTCTCTGCCTGTACTTCATGCACCTTGGGCGGTATGACGAATTCTCTTTATCAACAAAGGATGATTCTACTCAAGTTTTTAATAGTCAGCTACATGAGAGGAAAATGTTTTTAACACACCAGTTACGGTATTGCTGGAAGCAATATGAAATGTAGCAGTGCACCTGTGCAATTAAATTCCACCAGAAGTTTAAACGTGAAGTTCAATGGGACCCTCTGTGAGGTTGGGAGCATGTTCTGCGATCTTTGTAAGAGTGGTCAATAAATTTTTCATGAACTGTAAACTTCATAAAGATTCCTCTACGTAAATACATTAGAAATGTCTGTCCACATATCAATAAAAATGGGGTGGGAAAAGGGTTTGAGAGCACAAAATTCAGTGAAAGCATCTGAAATATCGTCATTTTTCGCCGGCCCCAAATCGGCCCCAAATCGGCCCCAAATCGGCCCCAAATCGGCCCCAAATCGGCCCCAAATCGGCCCCAAATCGGCCCCAAATCGGCCCCAAATCGGCCCCAAATCGGCCCCAAATCGGCCCCAAA